GGGAGGCTGGCTCCCTGCCGAGCATGACGGCCATAGGCCGTTACCGGCACCCGGTGATGCCTGGCAGCGCGCCGCCCCCCCGTCCCCTATGAATTCACCAGAGCCGCGTTCTGCCTCGCCCCAGGTAAAAAATGAAAGTACAGCTAACAATCACAGCGCTATTTTTAACATGAAAGTACTCGTTGTGCCGCTGACGGTTTCAGTCGAGGACCACAGGTGGTACCGCAAGCATGAGGAACTTTTTGGGATGGTGTCTCTGTAATATAAAATATTTTAACTTGAATGAAAACCTCGAGTTTATTATCAGTGGATTTGTCAGTTCTTTATGTTGAGATGTCTTCGATGTGTTACCTTTTATAGAATCTTTGCCCAAGCCTTCAGAACAGCACCATTCAGAAGCAGCGGGAAGAACTCCGATTTTTGATTGCAGAACTGAAAGATCATGACAGGGAACTTGATGACATGGTTGCAGTGCATCAGAGACAGCTTCTAGCCTGGGAAGATGATCGGCAAAAATTACTGACTCTAGCAGAACAATGCAGCTTATTAAACAGTAAGTGGTGTGTATTAAGGGTATGACCCTGGTCCTTTAAGTACGTTCAGGTGCTCAGACCCCTCACTAACAGTTTTGCTGATGCAAAATATATAACATATAAATCATATAACAAACTATTTCCTACCCTTCAGCCTTAAATTTGGTTGTCGTCTTTCTGAGCTCAGAATTTCCACAAGGGTACTAAAATGATCTGATCTTGAAGGGGAGATGACAGTCACATAGCTCTTTCTCATTTGTAAATTGCTTCTGTGGCCTCTTTCAAACAAAACCAAAAAAACCTGTTTAAATAAATGCGGGAGACATCAACAATTTGCAGACATGCTGGAGTACTGCAGAGCGCTGAGCCCTGAGGTTCTGCTGCCCCGCTCATCACCTGGCAGCTCTGAACAGTGGTCTGACAGCCACAGTGCAGGTGTCACCACAGAGTTCATGTTCCATCCGACTTGGATAGCTTGGGAATCCTGCTTCACAGTATGCAACGCGAGCAGCCATTTATGAATCTCATGATTTTAAAACACTGGATTGAATGACTTCTGGGACTTAAAAAATTGCATGACAGTATCTGAGCTGTTTTCTCACCGTTACCTTGTCTTCCTTCTTTTCAGATGAGCTGAACAAAAGAAATGAAATTATAAAATCACTGACCAAAAGGTTGAAGTTCTTAGAATCCCAGCAGAATGACAATAAGACAAACTTTGAAAATACACAACAGAAGTTTAAAGAGCTGTCTCAGAAAGTAACAGATGCAACTGTTCAGTGTCAGGCTCTGGAGGTAGGAGTTAAGCAATGGTCTGATTGTGCAGTCCATGCATGTACAGAATGCCAGTGACATGTGTGAGTTTCACTAGTGGATAAATATTTCATATACTCTTGAGTTTTTTGCCTTTTAGTGTCATAATGTTAGTCAGACTAAGGTATAGCTCTGATTCATTGGAAAAAAAAAAGGCAGAAAAGCATTCCTAAGCTAGGATTTGGAGTTTGCTGTTTGTTTGCTTAGTTTTGGGGAACACTGCTCAGAATCCACTTGCTTCCAAAAATGTCAGGCACTGTGATTGCAAAAGGCACTGTTGGCCCCCAGAACAGCACTGGTGCTTGCTTGGGAAATGCCAGGAAGTTCTATTTAAAGCTTTGATTACTATGATGAGTTGTAACATTCTAAAAACAGTTTAAGGATATGAAAATAATTGGTATTCAAGGGTTCCAAATTTTTTTAAGGTGATTTGGCAATGATGTGTTTATTGGGATCATTTTTTCCCCTGTATGCAACACAGTAACTCAGTATTGTGCATTTTCATCTGTCTAATCAGCTTGATTTAAGACATGCAGGGTATTAAGACCCTTGACTGCAAGCAGTTTGGCTGTAACGAATTGGGGAACAATTTTTACTTCAGTCCTCTTTTCTGCAGATCCTCACACATTGCTCAGAATTCCACATCGCCATTTGTGACGTTTAAATAAAGTTGTGCACGTGTTTACTGGAAAAACAGTAACCTTGAATCACTGAAGTAGTAGGCAACACTCTTGTTTCTGTTCACTAGGAGAAAAATCAAAGTCTCCACTGCTCAGTTTTGGAACTGTCTGTGAAAACAGGCCAGCTGCAAGCGAGAGAACAGGAGCTTCTTACTATGCTTAAGCTGAAGGTAACATCTGTCGTCTCACCAGTCAGCAAATGTGGTCAAACTGCAGTGCAGTCATTGGTGACTGTACCGCAGTGGTTTAGTCACTCTTGATCTCACTGCTGTTTAATTCTTAGGCTTGTTGGAGAAGGAAAAGGTGGTCAACAAACGATAAACTGGTTTATTTTCATAAACAAGTTTGTTTCCTGGCATTGATTTAGGATTTTTTCCTCAAAAGCTCAGAAGAAAATCTGTGAAGTAGCTATAGCTACTGCAGTAAGATGTACTGTTGTTTTGTCAAAATCCATACATGAAGATAAAACAATAGTCAAGAATACATTCTATTTTGTATTTCAGGACGAGGCTATACTTGAAGCAACTGATCACATTACTGAATTTACATCTAAATTCAAGAAGCTGGCAAGCGCATTGCATGCAGCAAAGACAGAGGAATTCAGTCTAAACAAAGAAAAGCAAGACCTCAAACTGAGACTGAAAGAACTAATCCTTGAAACGAATAAGCTGATAGGTAAATGTTCATACTGGGCACCTAATTCAGTGTAGACCGGCGTGGTTCCTTTTCATTCTGGGAATTGCTTTGTTTTGTTTTACAGATGACCTCTGTGGAAAGATGAAGGAAAATAATAGGCAGCAGGAAGAAATCATTCACCTCAAACAAGAAAATGTCTGTCTGAGGAATAAGCTTGCTCTTACTGGTAAGTGTGGGCCGTTGGCTTTTCATGCCTTGGCTTTCAGCAGCTCAAAGACTTCTAGACAACAGCTGTTCACTAATATCTGTGAGGGACGCAGCTTCTTATCTACCTTCCTTGCAGTTTAATGAAGGTATTTGCCTTTGTGTGTCATTCTTCTCTGAAAGCAGTATCCAGGGCTTCTGCAGCAAGTATAAAGTGTTTCAAAAGCACGAAGTTCACCAATGTGGTAACGCATGGAGGAGTGAATGGCTTAAAGGATTCTCTCTTGACAATTTTTGAGACTTTCCTGTCTCCTGCAGTGTTCATACAATAAATGGGGGTGCCATTATCCCTTCTGACGTAGGTTGCATAGAAAATGGTGATGGACTGAAAAGGAATTACAAAACCCTTTTGCAGTTCAAACCAAAAATTGCTTTTAGGCCCTATGAAATCAGCAGCCCGTTCAAACTTTCCAGTGTTTGTATAGAGGAAGCATGTTTACAAATTCACTTTTTCTCTTGTTTTTCTTTAAGTGATGGTTTAGATGGTTTAATATGCGGACTTGCTAAACTGCAACTTGCTGTCAGTTGATAGCTTCACTCTGGTTTTGGACAGAAACATCTGTACTGCAGTAGATAGAGGTGGGCTGATTGTTGCTGCATTATTCTTACAGACAAGCAATGTACTTCGAGGAATGCAGTGACCAAAAATGCCCTCTGCTGTGAGATTATTTACTTCCCTGTCACTTTTCATCTGCCATTACCTTTGCCAAATATTGATCCTGTGTCTCATTATTTGTAAACAATAGTAATGGGAAGTATTTCCCAGCACTTCTCTGTACGAGGCATGAATTAGCATTAATTACTGAATTGCCTCTCCATGGAAGAATGTTAACATGAAAAAGTAAAATAAATAAGTCAATGAAACAGAATACTGCTGCTAGTAAGATAAAGCTAAGTGCTGGTGAGAAGTCTGAGGAAAATACTCAGTCTGTTTAGTTGTCTTACTGTTATTGTGCTCTTTTTATTTGAAGAGGAAACAGGTCCTGTTGATCTTAAAAAAATACTTTTATTTTGTTTAGGTACCTGTTTCTACTGCTACAGAGATGTGCGTTAACAAATGTAGTTTCTTTGTGTCTATTCACTTTAAATAATTTGAAAATTGTATGTGTTTTGAAACAGTGGAGATAGCCAAGAGACAGGAACAACTTCTTCAGTCTGCCATGTCTAAACAAGCACGGACTGATGCAGAACTATCAAGTTTGCGACAGGTACAGCCCTAATTGTATTTCTACTCTGAGATTATGAAGGCATTTTTCAATAACATCAGATCTACATGGAACAGTATGAAAACATTAGATCTAGCTATGCTTAATTAAGAAAAGAAATTACTCTTTCTGCCTTGTTGGGATCCCTTCAGAATATTGGATTTTTTTTTTCTGGTTAAATTTAAAACCTCATGGTACAAATCCCTGTGTTTACATGTGCTTTTAGCCTTTTTTGTGTAATTCTATTTACTTGTTCCTGCAATGAGTAAATACCACCTTCATGGCAGTCAAGTGGGGACAGCCTGTTGAGATAAGTCTGAGCCTGTGTGTAAGCAGCGAGTGCAAGGCTCTGAGAAGTCACGTGAAGGGCAGTGAGAGGGGGCAGGCTGCCTCGCACACATGCCCAAGGTGAACTTCTGCAGTGGAAAGGGGCATGGTGTGCTGAAAGATCTGCTTTTCAAGAGAGACCTAAACCCAGCGTTTTCACCTGCACTCATTTGAGGTTCTCAAGGCATGTCATGCTTTTTTTCATTGCAAATAGTTGAGCAATGTGTTATCTGCTACATTTGCTTTACAAAAAATCCCCTGCAGTAAAAGCCAAATACCATGATCATCATTCCGTGTCCTGTAATTCTGTGTAACTTTGAACAACATAGTAATAACATGCGTTAAAGATCAAATAACAGTAACGATGTTGTATTTATGGCTCAAGATGGTTCCATTTTAGAAGAACTCTTCAGTCTTCTAATAAAAATGCTGTTTATTGCCACAAAGCATTATTTTCCTAAATACATGCAGAGATGGTGCTTTAGATTTGGAAGGCTTTGACAGTAGCTTGAATACAGGTATTGGTCTATAAAAATGTTTTGAGGATATTTTTAGAAGACAAACAGTGTGTTAGTACCTGATGACCATGTTCCTGCATGCCAGACTTTCACTAATGCTGTGTTTAAACATAATTAATGCTGTGTTTAAACAGGTCTACCTAAAACAGCAGCGAGACTTGCAATTTCTTCGTGTCAATTTGGAGAGCTCTCAGGAATTCAGGCAAAAACCTGACAAGGTGGCACATGAGAGGAGGTAAAGTAATCTTTTAAAAATCTTTTCTTAAAATAGTTCACTCTTGGAGAAAGGCATTACTGTGTGCTATGTCAAGATGTCTTTGCTGGACTCAACCACAAACATCCAGTGAAGCTGTCAGATACCTTTTTTTAGATGGTTAGGAGACACCATGAGTGTCAGTTACAGAATAAAGTGTTGTATGCAGGCCGAAAAATTAATTAAAAAAAATTAAGTAGCCTAGTGGTAAAAGTGTTCATCTGACCCACTACTACTTTTGTTTAAAATCAAAGTTTAGTTGCATTCAGATTAGGAAATTGGTGGACACCCTGGGGGTTCAGGCAGAATCACTACACTATGTTAAACATGAGGGAACGCTCAGCCTGATTTTGGAAAGTAACAGCCCAATGTGGACAGACTTCTGTTGGGGTTTGGCAGGATACAGCTGTCTGTCAGTGTATGAACTACCGCAGAGCCATGGCTACAGCCTCTGGTTAATGTGTAGTTTAACCTTGAGTGCAGGTACGCTCTTTAAATGCAGTATTTCTGACTATTTTCTTTATTGTGCCGTTGTAGCATAGGTGTGGGATTCTCTGCCCCTGACAGTAACAGCGAGACAGACGGGGTTAGGACTGAGGGCACCTATGAGATATGCGAGGAGTGTGGAACTGCACAAGTTCCAAAAAGGAGGGCAAAAATCACCTCTGAGATGTGTGAAGTAGATATTAGACTGTTAATGAATGCATCAGACTTGAAGGAAACTACCTCAGTGTATTCAAGCAGGTGTCAAAAAGTTGTGAAATTCTTGGCTGTCCCTGCAGAAGAAGAAGAAAAGCAGGATGTTGCGTCAAGCTCTGATGAGCTGGGCAGCAAAGTATTTTGTGAGGCAAACAACACGAGGCCATTGAGAAACAGGGACATTTCTGAGAATGGAGTGGAAAGCAGAGACCAACAAATCACCTTTGAATCACCTTTACCTGAATATGAGTATTGGTTTAATGTCAGTTCTTGTGTAGATTTGCAAAGTACTTTGATCCAGAACACCGTCACATCTGAGAAAACTGATAATGAAAATAAAGCCAGGGAAGAGAGAACTGGAATTCTGTCTGGCCAAAAAAGCACAGAGACTCCTGCTGCAGTTCACAAGCCTGAATCTGATTCCTGTAGCAGTAACTACATCACTAAAAAAGATCCACGGTGGAAGCCGGTATCAGATCTGGAATGGCTGAAGATTTTCAAACCCGTAAAAGGAGATGAAAGTGTATGGCATGGAAAAGACTGCAGCTGTCTCAAGACTGCACAAGATGTGAAATGTGCCAGCTCAAAAAGGTGATGTGCTTGTTACATTTAAGAAATACAGAGGTACAGACTTCTGGAGAAACTTGGATGTACAGGCTCTCAGTAACTTGCTAATCTCAAGTGATGATTAAAGTAACTGCTGTTTTAAGATTGGTCTACCAACTTGAAAAGTAGTAAATTTAAAACAAGTTAAAATAGCTTTAAGGTATCATGATTCTGGTTTTATGCATTCAGTTTTTCACAGCTCTTATCCCTAAGAGCTGCGTGGGTGGCTGCAATACCACATAACTTGCCAGATAAACTCATTGAGAAAAATGCAGATTTTAAAAAATCTTACGATTTTTTTTGAAATCCCAGCTGTTGCTTGTAACTCTGGTGGGTAAAACGTGTTCTGACCAGAGTTGGGCTTCTGCGGTGATGTTTCTGTGAGGCAAGAAACAAGCCTAGATTTGGTGTGATGCTTTAGTGACTGTGTTGTTTCTGTTGAGAAATCACACAGTGGCTGGGCAAGAATGTAGGACATGGCTGTTGCGTATGGGCTGCGTTCCTCACGCAGGGCAGGCAGATGAGGTGGCATGATTTAAAGAACAGCAGTCTGTCCACTCCGGTGCATCTCTGGTTGTGGGACTCGAGCCCTGTGTTTGTACTGGGGGAGGAGAAAGGATGTGTGGTTGGGGGTGAGCTAGATGAGGTTTCTAACGCTGAGAATTGTTGGAAAAATACTCAGGTGTCTTAGTGGTATTGGAAGGTATCCGAGATAGAAACATATTTATAGAAGTGGTTTTATGCCCGCACAAGCAAATGCATTCAGAGCTGTGGCTTTTGGTGGATTTGTTGTGTTGGTTCCTCTGTTTCCTTTCAAAAAACTGACTGACTTACAAGCTCTATTTTGGAAGGATTTCTGAAGCTTTACAGAGATTCCATAGTTGCCTTTTAAGCAGAAGGAGGAGTAGCTTTACAACTGGTGGTTTGACAAGCACAGTAAAGGCATAGCTGTTTAAACCTGCTAAGAATTTTAGCCAGCAAGTCTGCCCAACAGCCGAACAAATTAGTGCTATGGAATGAAAGCATCTGATGTTTGGATGCTTTCATTCTGTGTTGCTTTTAAAACAAAAATATTATAGAAATTGTCACTGCAGCGAGACAGACCTGTTCAGAAAGAAGGTGAATGGGCAGCCATTGATAAAGAATGCTGTCCCGGCACATTCCCACACAGCTCAGCTGAGCTCTCGCTCTGTGTGGACTCTCCAGTTTCCACTGACCCTAAATCATTACAAAGACTCCGTTCCCCTTACATCTACCCTGACCTTTCTTATCTGCTCCCCACCAGCACAAATGTCACACTACCAGCCCTCCAAATCGCTTTTGAGGCTGAATCGTGAAAACAGCTTTCACTTTTTGTCATGTTCTTAAGGGGATTTTAGGGGAGAAAGAGCAAATTCTACGTGGGCAGTGCAGATAGAGCAGATATCCTTCGTGAAGGAGAGCTGCTCTACCCGTTGGGGATTTGCTGCTGAGTATCACATTTTCATGGTGCCCACATTTCATCCTAGGAGGTCTGCTGATTGGAGATGGATTAACTGGTGCAAATCCCAGCCTCTGCTGACTCTCATTTGCCACCAAGTAAATTCTCATCCCGTGGATGGGAAGAAGGCAGAAGTGTTGCAGTCCTCGGTGTGGGCTTCTTGTTAAGGCATTAATGGCAGAGACCAAACACAGTATTCCTTCTAAGGCCCAAATCTGGATCCTCCAGTTTTCCTTTGCTGGCATCATGGTGCTGATGATGTGTTTTGTGTGTAGGGAAGGGTGCTGGCACCTCCCTGTCAGCCCAGCAAATATTTTTGACATGAGTTCTTGAATTCTGGAGCAGCCGACAAGACGGCTATTAACGCAGTCAAATACCTTCTCCAACTGCAAACGTGATTGTGAAACACCGCAGCGCAGGAATAATTTCTGTGTGCTCTGACTTAGTGACTTCGTTTATGTTGGACTAACTTTTGCTGCCTTTGGATTTTTATCTCAGTTCTGGTTTTAAAGATTGAAGACTTGTTTTACCCTGTTTACCCAATCCTGCCAGTGCTAGCACTGTGCTTCTGTTTTGTTCAGAAGTGTGATGACTACAGAAAGGTTTTATTTTGGGGAGGTGGTCGCTATTCTGTTTACTTTTTTAAAACGGTATGAAGTGGAAATCAGCAGTTGAAAATTTAATTCATTTGAATCTGCTTGCAGAAACCAGGGCACGTCTTTGTACAAGCTGCAGACAGCACTCAGACATGGACAGGTGATCCCAGGGGAAGGAGGTTTAGGTAGGGTGATGAGGATAGTTTCTAATATCCTACAGCCTTTATTAGTTCTAGTCTTAATTTGGGATTAATTGGGAGCTTAGCGAGGGATTTGGTACATTTTGATAAAATTGCGATTTAAGGAACTGAAATTGAGAACCGTTTTTCTCTAGGGTAGGCTATAATAAAGTTAACTTTTAGTGTGGGAAGGTGTAATGGAAAAGTCACTCATTTGACGTGCGCAGTAAGAGCTAAAGCCCTCTTGTATTAGGACAGCTTGGGGTGGCTGTGAGTCGGTGTTTGGACAGTAATAATGAGCAGGGTATGACTTGTTGCTTTAACCATCATTTAAATTGCTTTTCAGATATTCCTAAATACACTCAGATATTCCCAGTGCTAAATTCTATTTTGTTTTGCTTTAAAACCCAGGGGAAGGTGTATGCTGATAGATCGTATGCTTCAACTCCACACTGCAATGCTAGTCAGGCAACTGAGTTTTGGGTTTAATCACAGTTTGCCCGAACAGCTCTTTACTGTTTGCTGCTGTATTTAAAAATATATAAAATTAAGCTTCTTTGGGAAGGCTCTCCTGTGATCTCTGAAGTGAGATGATGACTTTAAAAGAATCTGAAATTCCCTTGAAAAGTACACCTACAAATATGAATTTGCCTTATGGTTGATTAAAAGCCAAAAAGAGAGTAGGGTCTGAGAGATGAAAGTACCAGAGTATCAGGAGGAACTAGGTACAGCCTTTTGTGTGCTCTTTGCAAGGTTAAATAGTTACCCAAGCACATGGTGGTGTAGCTGGTCTTGAAACCGTTGAATGTCAAACTGTTCTCTTCAGAGGGTAAAGCTGAGCTAACGAAGCTGTTGAACACGGGAACTGCTCTGAGGAGCGGCGTAATCTCACGTGCTCAATGGTTTTCGTGGCTCAGGGCCCATAATTATTTATGTTGTCCCATGATTTTCCTTTGAAAGCTTAAAAAGGATGGTGATCCTGTTTCTGGCAGTGTCTTAATTTTTTTTTTTTTTAACAGTGAAGAAAATGTGGATCTGAATTCTTTTCACTTGGATTCTCCCTGTTTGACATCCACCTGTAAAGGAGACAGGCCTCAAAGACATGAGAAATTGTCTGATGGAGACTTCCCTCTGGAGATCAATGACCTCTCAGTGACAAAACCAACAAATAGATGCTGCAGTGCTACCGTGGCCCAAGTCAGTATTTTATTGCAGAATGTACTTCATTAATTTTAGGGGTAATTGTGACTCATGGTAGGAAAGCAAATGTCTGCAGGCATGGAAGAACTAGGGACTGGAATGATGAGACAGCAAGTTTAAAGCAAAGGTAGTAAAATACGTTTTCAGAATAATTCCTTGTTGTCGCAATTTATCTTGAACAGTACGTGTGGTAAAAAACAGTAACTTTTAAAATGTAAGACTTCAGGATGATGGATGCTGGCTGATACCTGTCAGTTCCACTAAAGCACAGTATCTGTGAACACTTGGATGCAGTTATTGGAAGCTATTGGGCACCGATTCGTTCTGTTCTGGTGCTTTTCCCTCTTTCTCCTGGCTTTGTTTATTCTCCCCTTTTATCACTGTACAGCTGTTGTGCATACTGCATAGAAGATCCGGTAAAAAGCTGACACTGGGAAAGACTTCTGTGTTTATTAGAAATGTCAGCATTTAGACAGTCTGGAGGAGTGTTAGGTGGTAGCATTTTGAACCGAGACATTTCAGAAACGAAAGCGATGATTCTTGGTATGTTATAATCCTTTGACATATTCCAAAAAGATGATTTCATAACTTTGGCTCACTTTCTGTCTCCTCCAGGACACCAGTTCCCCCATAAGTAAGCTGCAGCATGCGTTGGCCGAGTCTCGACAGATGGCTGCTGATCTGGAGCTTAGCACTCTCCTCCACGCGAGCCCTTGCTGCAGTATGAACAGTGGCAGCGTTAATACGGTATATTTTGCTCTCCGATGACTACATTTAGGTGGCTGGGAAGAGCGATTGTGAACATCCTTTCCCTTACGCTTGACTTGCGCTATGGCATTATAAACAGTATCTTCCTGACCCTTTGCTAAAGAGAAAATGCCTGCGTGCCTTAGCATGACATTCTTGAATTTTTTAATAGAATTCTTTATGGCTGCTCAAGGTCGTGACAGGATTTGACTTTTGCATGTGTCTAAGCAGATGGGAGGAAGAAGTCATTTTGGAGCAAGCTGTAGGAGGGCTAGAAAAAGTGAACACAAGAATGACTTACATTCAGAACTGGTTTACTACACTAGGTATATTTGTGGAAAGGAGGACAGTATAGGAAATAGGTGACATATAGAGTAGTTTTGTGTGTGAGTTTAAACCAGACTCTCAAATAACTTCGGAGATTTTGTGGGTTAATAGCTTTAGTTCCTTCATTGTGGGGTCAGAGAATGTACTCAATGGTCAAAGCAAATAACCTGTATTTAGCTGTCATGGCAATTTATTTTATGAGCATGACCGCTGATAGGGAGTTTCTGTCCTGAGTATGTGGGCAATAGGAGTAATTGGAGCAGGGGGCACTTTTTTGTTTTCATAAATATCCTTAAGAATTTCTACCTTGTTTGACAAGGAGTCTGTACTGCTCGTCACTAGAAATGAGTAGACTTGTGCCAGTACGTATCACAAAGGGAGAATTTAGGCTTTTGGTTTTAAAGCAGACTCCTAATGAGAACACTGGCTGCTGAAACCTCAACTTTCTCCTGAAAGGTATTCTCTAAAAAAGTTGGCACTCCTTTTATCCTGAGATGCACCTGACCAGAACAATGTTGCTGTGAGTAACAGCGATTTTGATAACATTCAGAACCATAAAACCTTAGCTGTGCTGGGGCTGACTGACAGAGTGTAAAGGTTGTGTGCCAGTGTTTGCATAAACTGAAAGGATATTTTGTTCAGGAGTTCATCTGCAGGACTTCATTCAGCGTGAAATACAGCAGCAGTGTAGTCTTTTGCAAAGGCTGTCTTGTAGGAGGGATTCCTGAAAAGCGCTCTGCAGAACAGTGCTTGCTTGTGGCTCTCGCCTGCCCCGTCAGCTGCCTGGCTCCTGCTTGCTGCTTGGCACGGCCCAACTCAGCTAAACCGGCCTTTAGTAGCAACCGTGGCTCTGCTTTATAACCTGATATCGCGATTTTGAGCTTGGAAACGGGCTTCTCATTCAGAGAGGTGGCTTTAGCAAATAGAAAATAAAACAGGCTCGTGTTTACTGGCGGGGGGAGCCTCTGAGCCACATCTGTAGAGCTTTGATCTACTTTCAGAGCAGTTCTGGGCAAAAACTTGTCAAGCATGTTTTAGTTAATCTATGCAGATCAACTAATCTGTGCTTAAAACCAGGTTTACCTGAGGCTGTTTTAATCTGCCCTTTAAAACATAATGTGTATCAAATGTAACCCTTAGAATTTAATCACTGAGAATTTGTACATGTTGGATTCTGTGCCCTGCTTGGGGGAGGAAGGAGAAAAGGGAATGAAAAAGTGCTCACCGCTTTGAACCTGGCAGCTCTGTAATTTTTATTATCATCTGAATTCTGTGATTTCCACGTCGTGTTTTTGCATTACAATACAGACAGCAGAACTTGCAGAAGCTCTTCACAGAACCCAGTTGTCTGCTGCAGAGGAACAAGGTGCAAAGCTTCCATTCTTTTGTCTATGATGTCCCATGAGTACGGAGGTGATTTCAACTTGATTTTTTTGTCGTTGGTTATTTTTTGTGGTCTCTCTCTTTATAAATACATCTGCAACAGTAATACAAGCTACAGACTTCTGAGATGAGCCTGGCACAAGATTCCACGTGCACTGCTCAGAATGCATTTCCAATAAAACTCTTGTGAGTACAATGGCAGCAAACAGATAGTGAAGGCAGCAAGTAACTCCTTTAATCCAATAATTGAACTTTTCTCGGGCATGTTCCTCATGCTCTGGGCAGGCAGGTCTTGCAGCTCCATTTCCCAGTACCTGCACACCACTTATTGTATTTAAAATCCTTCTGCATGGTGCAGATAATGGGATCAAGGATATGAACATTGTTGAGTAAGAGAGTGGGAGGTGTTTTTCAGTGCAAGGGCCAAGGGCTGTTTTAACATATTGTTCCTGGGTCAGAGCTCCAAAAGCAGAATGTATTGAATAGAGCTGTTTCAGAATATAGAAAAACAGCCTTGCCCATAGCAGATTGTCTTTTCTTTTTGCATCAGGAAACTTCTCACTCTCTGGTCATTTGTTCTCCTAATGAGAGTTGGATGCTTGCTATAGGCACTATGTTGTCTGGTTCTGAGGACAAAAGAGTAACCAGATGTGGTTAAAATACCAAACCTCACATGAAACTAAATAAAAAGTAGCAACAGTGGGGGGAAAAACTGACAAAAAATTTCCCAGTGCTGACACAACCCCAGTGGGTGTCTGCAAAGGGAGTGACTGCATAGCGAGCTGGGGGGTGAAGCTGTGTGGCACTGGGTTTCTCATAGGGGTCAGCTTCGATCCAGTGGGCAGCAGGTGCTCGGTTCTTCTCTCTCAATGTGTGTATAATATATATGTATAAACCCTGAACTGTTCCTCTCCTGTGGAGCTGAACCCTGTGTGCCCCCAGGGCACTGGTTTGCAGCACCCTCACGTTCTGCTGTTTCTGCATTAAGTCCGGAGACGCTCAGTCTTCTTTCAAAATAAGTTGGGTCTGCTCAGAGCACGCTAATGGGGCTCCTGTGGGAAATGATGCTGAGTAGCTGGAATGCAGTGCCTTGCTCTGCTGCGGAGTTCCTGTGAGGTAAGCTCTTCCTTTCCTAAAAAGAGCTGTAAGGTAAAAGAAGCCGGAGGTTTTAGATCGAAGCCAGCGCTGTGATTTGCATGCTGAAACCACTGATGTTAAAAAGTTTCAGGAGCAAATCCCCAAAAGTGCTGAGCACCATGCTGATACAGCAGAGCGGTAAGCGCACGCTTAGCCTACAGAAATAATCTCATTTGCTTCAAGTGAAAACGAGCTGGTGGAACAAACCTACCCACGGTTCACTGTGAGACAGGAGTTAGTGACTCTGCAGGTCACTGGCTGCTGCCTGATTCTTACTTTCTTCATTTATTAAAAGGCACCGAATCACTCTGATCAGATAAATCCAAAGCAGCTTTTGCAGAGTTGATAGCAGGTCCAAAAATAACTAAACCTTTGTGCAATTTCATATAGAGAAGTGCCGGAATTGATTTTGGTTGGGTTTGTTTGTTTTTTTTAATTGCTTTGAAATCATTTGAGGGCAGGTGTGCTGATAAACGAGAGGCTCATTTCCTAACTGGCTGCCAGGGATTGAGGCGCCTTCCTCAGTTGTTTTTCCTTTAGAGAGAGCTCGGGTGGGGGACGTTGAAGAACAAAGGAGGAAAGCCATGAGTAAAAGGGTCTGTTCGGATTTGGACACTGTAGCGTGTGCCACTGCTCGTAAACAGTGACTCAGGGGCTGGCCGAAGGCACAAAGATCGCTGCTCTTTGCAAAACAAACCGGGAAGGTTGTATTTCACAACACTCCAGTGGTGTCCCTGCACTGCTGCTTTTCTGTGAAGTGTTATTTACCTTACTTCTCTTCAGGTTTTTACTCTGTTTTTATTCAGTTTTCCAGTGTGAAAAATTAGATCGTAAATTGACACATGTATGATTGCTTCCTAGATTTTAGCAGAAATGTTCCTGCGTTTTAATGAAAATCTTTAACTTTCTGCAATGGATGAAGAAGTTTTCAGTATAGAATGAATTTTGAGAGCTGAAGATCATCAGCCCGTCAGCCACAATGGAAAATCACCTCATTTTTGTCCGTGGTTCTCTGACTGCAAAAGACTCACGAGTGGCAAGAAGACGTGACTGTGTGGCTGTGTGTTTTTTCTTGAAATGAAACATAGAGTTATGCCAAGATTAACCAAAGTTTTTAGAGCTGAGAGCTCAGGTTAAACACTAGCTTGTTTTTTTAAGAATCTCAAGAATGTAATTGTTACGACATAGGAACTGTTTTTCTTACCTTTTTTATAGCGGCTCAGAAATATTTATAGAGTGTGCCACAGCCAGGCGTTCATTTTCATTGTTGGTTTAATTGGTTTTGTCCTGGACACATCTTGCCATGTAGAGCAGTGAGTGATGCTGGTAGGAAGTTTCCCATTGGTGGTGTGGGCAGGAGCAGCTTCCTGCGTTGCTGGCACCCACCAGACCGGCCCAGCCCCACTCAGAGTTATTGTCCTCAGGAAAGCTCATAACGAGATCAGCCGTGTGTGGGCTCCGTCAGCCCTGCGAGATGTGACCGCCTCTTGGGTATTTAAACTGGTTTTGTCTTTGACTGCTGGGCCAGACATGGTCTGTTGTCATAATCTCAACTTATTTTCTGACTAAAAGATGAAATAAGTTAATAAAGGAGATACCTTTGCAGTATCTTTCTCGCCTGTTTAACGCTGTCCAACACCTTCAGTATTTAATTTATGCCAGTTCTCCGGGGTGTGTGACACCGACTGCCAGTGCCAGGAGTGAGCCGCTGGGTCGCGTGCGGGTGGGAGCGTTTTGGGAGGCCCGTGCCCAGCCCCACCGAGCGTGGGGGCAGTGAGGGGCGGGAGGCTCTGGCTCTGTCCACTGCCCCCAGATTAACTGCAGCGAAATCCAGCACCATGGTTTCCCCTTGTTAACTCTTTCATCCAATTTTCGGCTTTCTCTTTAATTACCCAAATGACAGCCTGCTCTGTGTACTAATGGCCTCAAAATTAGTCGACCAATTCTGACCATAGCTG